GATGTCAAGGTCCTGCTCTGATACCATGTCAGAATCCCAGCCACTAACCACTGGGATAAAAGGGCTTGTTTGTATAGCGGGTGAGTGCGCCCATAACCCCCCAGGCCAACGTGCCTGTAACCCTTCCCTAGGATCGATCGGGGATCACCAGTGGACCTCTGACACCCCCCCGCACTGGGATGCCCGAGGTGCATACACCGGGATTCGAACCCGAGACCTTCGCTCTGATACCATGTGAGAACTAGAACGAGAATGGTTGCATTGAGCAGCATGAGGAGTACAAGTACCAAACCCTAGAATGTTGTACCCCATATAAGCTACCCCACTACAGCCTACACAGACTATAGTGTATGAGTTTGTCATATACCTTGCTGTCTTTTTGTCCATGCATGGTTTTGAGTGCATGAGACGTGAGCTTGAAGTATCAAGGGGGATGATGTACGGGGGAAAACCTTTTGAGTGTTCTCAAAAGATGTACGGGGAGAGCTTGGGATGCCATGCCATGCACACACATGGATGTTGGTACTTCATGCCTACGCCATACCTACCTTCGACTAGCACTTGCACACACACTTGCACACACAATTGCACACATGCACTTGCACATATTACACTTGCACACACACAAACACTTGCACACACACAAACACTTGCACACACACAAACACTTGCACACACACAAACACTTGCACACACACAAACACTTGCACACACACGCACACTTGCACACACACAAACACTTGCACACACACACATACACACACACACACACACACACACACAAACACACACACACACTTGCACGAACACACTTGCACACACACACACACACACACACTTGCACACACACACATGAACACACACACTTGCACACAAACGCACACTTGCACACCAACCAGCACACACGCATGCACATGCATGACCACTCACACTCTCACACGTGCACATGCACCTGGACATGCATACACTCCCTCCCCGCACACATCCCATCCCATCAGATGATTCGGGACGAGCTAAAAGCGGGGCGGCAGGAGGGTGAGATACTGGAGGCACTCAAAAGCCAGTATGGCGATTCTGTTGTGTATTCTCCGCCCTTCCACGGTGCCTCCGCTGCTCTCTGGCTCACTCCGGTTAGTTGGGATGGTGTGTGGTGAAATGGGGTTTCAAGTGGTGAGGTGGGTAGATGATTGCGGTTGGGACGAGCTGAGGGCGGGGTGGCAGGATGGGGAGATACTAGGCACTAAAATCCCAGTATGGGGACTCTTTCGTCTGCTCGCCGCCGTTTGAGGTGCCTCAAAAGGGTGGCAGGATGGGGAGATACTGGGTCGAGTCAAAAGAGATACTGGGCACTAAAATCCCGCCCTTCCACGAGCTGAGGTATGGGGTCTCTGTCGTCTTTTGAGACGTCTCAACAGCTTTTCCACGAGCTGAGGTATGGGGTCTCTGTCGTCTTTTGAGACGTCTCAACAGCCCTTCCACGAGCTGAGGTATGGGGTCTCTGTCGTCTTTTGAGACGTCTCAACAGCCCTTCCACGAGCTGAGATAGGGGATCTCTGTCGTCTGCTCGCCGCCCGTCCACAGCGCCTCTGCTGCTCTCTGGCTCACTCTGGTGGGTTCGGGTGGTGTGCGGTGAAATGGGGCTTCAAATGGTGAAATGGGGTGATTAATTGGAAGCATCTGCGAATGCAGCAGCAGCAGGAGGGGGAAATACTAGGGGCATGTAGGGGCGAGTATGGCTGCCATTATGCCATACTGTGGCGATCCCATGGTCTACTGACTCTCCGCCCTTGCTGCGGTGCCTCTGTTGCTCTATGGCTTACTCCCGTGAATTTGGGGTGGTTCTGTGAAATGAAGATGACTTTTGAGTCGACTCAAAAGTCACCTCTGCTGCTCTATGGCTCACTCCCGTGAATCTGGGGTGTTGGTGCGGTGAAATGTGATGTCTCATACTCTCTCAAGGGCAGGTTCTGCGTTGCAGAGTATGCAGTATGCAGTGATAACATGCAATGGTTCCCTTGCTGCTCGATATGTCTGCGCTCGTTCCAGTGAAATAACATCGGGTGCAGTGGGGTGCGGTGCAGTGAGTCGGGCATCGAGGACAGAGCGGGGTTATGAGTAGCCGTGATCCCTGCATGACCATGCCTGCTGCTGCTGGGGGTTCATCCACAACTGCGACCAGCGGCCATGCTACATCTGCAGTCAGAAGCTCGCAATGTTCTACAATTTGCCGCCAAACGATGAACATCTAAAACAAGCCTTTTGCCACACATGGGCTGGCTACGCGATGTGTCGGTTCACCACCTTTTTATTTAAAACAACCCTCTCATTGCTGCCTCCACCAGGTGTTCGTGCTGGCAGCAGCAGCCGCATCAGCTGTGCGGCGCAGACCAATGGCAGCAGCTGCAGCAGGCACAGCGACCACAGCAGCACACTCTGCTGCACGCCATGCCCACGCCATGCCTCGCAGAGCAGTGCGGTCCAAGCAGGTATGCGATGGTGTTCCTAGAGCGCTTATGAGCTGTCTTGACTGACTGTAAGCACAGCTACTGTCGCATCCACCACAGCACACTCCACTGGATCACTGCCCACAGCACACTCCACTGGATCACTGCCCACCACGCCCATGCCATGCCTCGCAGAGCAGTGCGGTCCAAGCAGGTATGGTGCAACCTGCATGTCGTGTCTTCACTGACCATACTGCAGCTGCCAGAGCTGCCACACCAGCACGCTCTGCTGCCTGCCATGCCCACACAATGCTTCACGGAGCAGTGCGGCCCAAGCAGGTGTGCACACACATGCTCCGTTGTTGAGAGTGTGCTGCCAAGCCAATCTCAAGCTTTGTCGCATGCTGCCGTTTTGACCTTTGAGTCAACTCGAAAGTCAACTCAATATCAAGCTCTGTCGCATGCTGCCAGTTTTGACTTTTGAGTCAACTCAAAGGTCAACTCAAAAGTCAACTCAATCTCAAGCTCTGTCGCATGCTGCCGTTTTGACTTTTGATTCAACTCAAAGGTCAACTCAAAAGTCAACTCATTCTCAAGCTCTGTCGCATGCTGCCAGTTTTTACCATCCGACCTGTGCTGTGCTGCACCTATCGTCATCATTTGGCTTCTAACTTGTGAGCATCTCCCTTCCCGTGCGTGCAGTCACACAGATGACACGAGCATTGCACCCATCAAGTCATCAACACCCATCAACACAAAGGCATGAACGCTGGTCCGGTTGCGGGGGATGGGAACGTAGGAATGCAAGCCAAGGCATTGACCGCATCACAGGGCGTTTACCGGTAGTTTTTGACTCCTCAATTATAGGAACGCACGCCCAGGCACTGCTTGCATCACAAGGCGCTGTAATGTGAAGTGGTTCGAGCAATCCATGCAGTTACCGTATGGCTAGTGTGCAGTGAGGCTACTGGTGCCCCCTGCATCTCATGAGTTGCACGTGTGAATGTCTGGCTGCTGGTAGTGGGACAAGAGCAGCACTAAGGAGATGCTGCGTTTCAGTATTCGTTTATTCTCGTAGCAATTAAATTTCCTATTGTAACCAGTAATAACACAACTCATGTTCGACCCTCCAATTACGGTATATCCTTTGCCTTGCTTCCTGTACACGTATCAATACAATCAATCAACCCCCCCATTCACACACTCCACTCCTCCACACCCTTTCACCACCATGGCAAAACACCCACCCATTAGTCTCTGCCTCCCATCATAAACCGTCCGTCCGTCACACCCTCCCTCCCTGCCCCCTCCCCTCCTGCTGTTGATGCTGCATGATGCTCCTTCCTCCCAGACTCCTCCCTCACGTCGTGCCCCCCCCTTCTCAGCCTGCTTCCCATATGCTTCTCAACAGCACACACCACCACATCACCCTTCCCTCTTTCTGCTGATGCTGCATGAACCCCCTCTTTTATGCCTTCCGCCCTCCTCTCTCACGCCGTCCCCCCTTCTCCACGTGCTTCCCCACGTGGTTCTCAACAGCACTCAGCTGGCCATGCGCTGATGCACACACCACCACACCCTCCTGGTATGCACACAAACACTGCCAATCCCTCCTGCTGCTGATGCTGCATGGGTTTGCTTGCTCACTCCTCCCAGTCTCCTCCCTCACGCCGAGCCCCCCTTCTACGTGTGCTTCCCCATGTGCTCCTCAACCGCACTCAGCCCACCATGCGCTGCTGCATACGCCGCCACACCCTCCTTGCCTCCTCCCTCTGCAGACACAGGCACCCTGTCACCTGGAGAGAGAGGGAGGGGAGAGAGAGAGCAAAAAAGAGGAAGCGGGTGAGAGATTGAGGCACCACCATGAGCTGCAGCGCAAACCACCACACTCTCCTCGCCTCCTCCCTCGTCAGACACAGGCACCCTGTCACCTGGAGAGAGGGAAGAGAGAGAGCAAGCAAGTAAAGTAGAGGAAACAGCACTCAGCCCGCCATGGGCTGCTGCACACACCGCCACACCCTCCTTGACTTGCCCATTTCCAGGGACAGACACCCTGTCACCGGGAGAGAGGGGAGAGTGAGAATGAGAGTGAGAGTGAGAGTAAGAGAGAGAGAGAGGGAGCGAGGTAGAGCCAACAGTGCTGAGCCCGCCATCCGGCACCCTCCTTGCTTTGCCCATCTTCAGGCATGCTGAGCGAGAGAGGCAAGAGGAGGGGAGGTCGAGTAAATGCGACATAACATGAATACTGACTGACGTCAAATGGAACACTCATTAGTGGGACTTACAATTTCAGGGGCAATCAAGGTGATAGAAGAAGACTCAACATGCATCACAACGCACATCACAACACACATCACAACGCACATCACAACACGCCTCATCCCTCATCACCACATCCCTCATCGCCTCATCCCCCATCGCCTCATCCCCCATCGCCTCATCCCCCATCGCCCCACGCCTCACCAGTCATGTCCATGGCCGTGTGCAGCTGCGCTTGCAGTCACCCCCCTCGCCCCCCTCACCTCACCCCCCAATGCGTCACCACGCATGCCTCACCAGTCATGTCCATGGCCGTGTGCAGCTGCGCTTGCAATCGATCGTGCGTCGCATGCAGCTCTGCAGTCAGGGAGGGGAGGACAAGGAGGGGAGGACGGAGAGGAAAGGAAGGGTGGGGAAGGAAGGGGAGGGGAGGACGCGGAGGGGAGGAAGGGGAGGGGAGAAATCGAGGCAAAGAATGAGACGGAAGATCCCAGAGACGCAACTCATGTAGAAGTCTACACCCATGCATGTGTGCAAGGGTACACCCATGAATGGATTCATCATGCACCCATGCACCCATGCTCTGTGATCCGCTCCTATTTTTGAGTCGACTCAAAAATAGATCCGCTCCGCACATGCATCACCCACCGCTGTGGTCTGCTTGCATCATCTGCTGCAGCTGCTTCAGCTGCCCCTCACTGCTCACTGCTGCCTGCTGCTGCCGCTGCTGCCGCCTCATCGCTCGCAGCTCTGCTCTCTTCTGAAAAGGGGATGGGGGTCACACACGGGTGGGAAAGGGCGATGGAGACATGGGAAGATAAGCGAAAGGGAAGGGACAAAATGAATGTGCAGAAGAGGGAGAAGCTTCACGCAGACAAAGAGAGGTAAGAATGTAGAGAATGAGTAAGATGAAAAGGGAATAGAGGAGCGCTGGGAATGACGGAAGAGCATTCAGGGCAGCGTGTGTTGGGGAGAAGGAGGGCAGGAGTCAGTTCATTAAAAAACGAACATGTGGGGAGAAGGAGGGCAGGAGTCAGTTCATTAAAAAACGAACATGTGGGGAGAAGGAGGGCAGGAGTCAGTTCATTAAAAAACGAACATGTGGGGAGAAGGAGGGCAGGAGTCAGTTCATTAAAAAACGAACATGTGGGGAGTGAAGGGATTGAGCAGAAGAGGAAGAAGCGAAGAACGCAGCCAGTAAAGAAAGTGACAGCGCAGCTGAATGCAACGCTCTGCACCTTCGCCAGCGTGGCATGGAGCTCTGCCAGCTCATCATCAAGAGCCGCCGCTTCAGCCGCCAGGTCATCGTCCCCGCCTGCTCCAACCACACTGCCAGCTGGCGCAGCTGCCCTCGGTTCCCCATCCAACGTGGCGAGGTGTGCTTGTAGCGAAGGGGACAGGGCGAAGGCAGTGGCGAGGGCGCGGGTCTTGAAGGCCTCCATGTTCTCCTCGATGCGCTGCTCCACCAGATGATATGCCTGGTCCAGGTCCTGATGCGTGCATGGGAGTGAGATGGAAAGAAAACAGGAGCTTGCCAATCAGAGAATCAGTGTTGAAGGCCTCCATGTGCTCCTCTATGCGCTGCTCCACCGGGTGATAGGCTTCATCTAAGTCCTGATGTGGGCAAGGGGACGGAAGGACAGCAAGGGAACAAGACAGCGGGGAGGGGGAGGGGGGGGGGGGGGGGGGGAAGAGGGGAGGAAGAAGGAGCTTGTGTGTGATGGTAATGCAGGAGTCAGTCATCCAGTCAGAGTGACTGCGTGAGTGAGAGAGCAGAGCACGAGTGAGCGAGTGAGTCAGTGAGTCAGTGAGTTAGTGAGTCAGTAAGTCAGGGTACATTCCGCTGTGGACACATGTCCCAATCGATGTGTCCCAATCGAGTGTACCGCTCCGAACCGAACTAAACCAGAGACGCGAAAATTTCGAAACTAGGGTGCAATTTGGTGTAATACGATGCAGTGCGGTAGAAACGATTGGGACACATCGATTGGGACATGTGTCCACAGCGGAATGTACCCTCAGTGAGCCAGCGACTTTTGAGACGTCTAAAAAGCGCAGTCAGTGATCCAGTCAAAGTGACTACAGCACTGCGTGAGTGACTTAGCGAGAGTGAGTCCGAGTCAGAGTGACTTAGTGAGCGAGTGAGTCAGTGTGGGTGAGTCAGTGTGGGTGAGTCAGTGTGGGTGAGTCAGTGTGGGAGAGTCAGTGTGAGTGAGTCAGTGTGGGTGAGTCAGTGTGGGTGAGTCAGTGTGGGTGAGTCAGTGTGGGAGAGTCAGTGTGGGTGAGTCAGTGTGGGTGAGTCAGTGTGAGTGAGTCAGTGTGGGTGAGTCAGTGTGGGTGAGTCAGTGTGAGTGAGTCAGTGTGGGTGAGTCAGTACGATAGTAGTGAACGAGTAATTCAGCCGGCCGGCCGGCCAGCCAGCCAGCAAGCCAGCCAGCCAGCCAGTAAGTTAGTGAGACCATCTCACCTGTTGCAGCTTTGCCTTTCCCCCTTCAGGACACTTCTCCATGATGCAGCTGTGGTCGTGCATACGCCATGCCACGTCACACCACGTCATGCCATGCCATGCCACGTCATAGCATACATTGGCATGCCACATGGCGAGATTCCATAACCAGAAGATCAGGCCGATGTGAAAGCCCAGACGATCAGGACAACGGCTCAACGGGTGAGGAAAAAACAGGAACCGAGAGACCATTGTTTAGGCAGCCTTTGGGGAGACTTTTGGGGCGCCTAAAAATTTTGGGGACAACGGGTGAGGAGGAAACAGGAACTGAGACCATTTTTGAGGCGCCTCAAAGCTAAAGCCCAGATGAGTTTGGGGAGAACGGGTGAGGGGAAGAGAGGAACCGAGAGACCTCAGAGCGAGTGCGATTGACCGCTACTGCAATGTCAAAAATAGGTGAATAAAGCAGCAAAGGTTGGAACTAAAAATTCGGAATGCCAAGCGCTCCCTGCCACCCGCTCTCTGCCGCCCAAATCTCGCCGCTCACCTCCTCAGCTCCTCAGCTCGCCGCTCACCTCCTCAGCTCGCCGCTCACCTCCTCAGCTCGCCGCTCACCTCCTCAGCTCGCCGCTCACCTCCTCAGCTCGCCGCTCACCTCCTCAGCTCGCCGCTCACCTCCTCAGCTCGCCGCTCACCTCCTCAGCTCGCCGCTCACCTCCTCAGCTCGCCGCTCACCTCCTCAGCTCGCCGCTCACCTCCTCAGCTCGCCGCTCACCTCCTCAGCTCGCCGCTCACCTCCTCAGCTCGCCGCTCACCTCCTCAGCTCGCCGCTCAGCCGCTCACCTCCTCAGCTCGCCGCTCACCTCCTCAGCTCGCCGCTCACCTCCTCAGCTCGCCGCTCACCTCCTCAGCTCGCCGCTCACCTCCTCAGCTCGCCGCTCACCTCCTCAGCTCGCCGCTCACCTCCTCAGCTCGCCGCTCACCTCCTCAGCTCGCCGCTCACCTCCTCAGCTCGCCGCTCACCTCCTCAGCTCGCCGCTCACCTCCTCAGCTCGCCGCTCACCTCCTCAGCTCGCCGCTCACCTCCTCAGCTCCTCAGCTCGCCGCTCACCTCCTCAGCTCCTCAGCTCGCCGCTCACCTCCTCAGCTCCTCAGCTCGCCGCTCACCTCCTCAGCTCCTCAGCTCGCCGCTCACCTCCTCACCTCCTCAGCTCGCCGCTCACCTCCTCACCTCCTCAGCACGCCGCTCACCTCCTCACCTCCTCAGCTCGCCGCTCACCTCCTCACCTCCTCAGCACGCCGCTCACCTCCTCAGCACGCCGCTCACCTCCTCAGCACGCCGCTCACCTCCTCAGCACGCCGCTCACCTCCTCAGCACGCCGCTCACCTCTCCCTGCCACCCGCTCCCTGCTGCCCACATCTCGCCGCTCACCTCTCTGTCGCTCACCTCCTCAGCTCCTCAATGCCGTCCAGCCACGTCTCGTGCACCTGAGGTCCCACGCACAACCAGGGGACCAGGGGGGATGGCGGACCAGGGGGGACGAGGGAGGCCGGGGAACGGGGGAGCGGGGGGGAACGGGGAACAGGGGGAACGGGGGAGCAGGGGAACGGGGGAGCAGGGGGAACGGGGGAACAGGGAACGGAGGGGAAGAAGAGTCAGGACCCGAAAGTATGGTGATTGTGGTACTCAGTTCGCCCAGACGTCTTAAAAATGTCTCGACGAACTGAGGTCCCCCTGCTCCCCCATTCGTCCAGGTTCAGGTCCTGAGGTCCTCGCATTCACGGCACCTGGACATTCCAAGTTCCAACACGACTGCCTCCGCGCTTGCCTTCCGTTCCGCTTCGTGCCAACAAACAGATGCCGGTGGGGAGCGGTGGGGAGCGGTGGGGAGCGGTGGGGAGTGGCGGTGGGGAGGTGGGATGAGACGAGGACGCGATGATGAACCCAGTGACGTGGAGGGTGCTTGGTGGACGCAGTCACGCAGGCAAAGGCCGTCAGCCCACATAGGCTGCTCCCTTCCAAGGCGCTTCGCGCGCGCCTCGACACCAGTAACTCACTCAGTCTGAGGACGTCTATCTCCCAGGCTGTTAGACATTGCATCGACGCGTTTGCTGTTTAGTTCGGGACACGTGGCGATATGCTATAGATGAAGGAGACGATGCTAAAACGGTAGGTTTCGTACGGCGTTGATGACGTCATCAAGGATCGCGGACGGTGGATCGTGCAACCCCAGGGTTCGCCAGCTGTCGTCCAGCGACGTGGCCGCCATGTGCAACGTGCGATTCACAACCTTTGCGACTCGCTTACTCGAAACGGTCAGCGAGATCTGCAACGACGCAGCACCAGCAGGACGTCTTGGCACTATCTATCCGCGATAACAAGACTCCATCCCAAACAACTCCGCTGGAGGTACATTGTAGTCACCCCGTAGCTGCATGCGATATTCGATGTACCTACAATGCACTCGGCTGCATTGTACTTATAGGTTCTCATACAAGCAATTTACTTCGAATCCTTATACAGGGTGGCAATAGGGTAACCATATAGTACATACTCCGATAAGTGTATAGTAACTATATAGTAGACATTCTAATTTTACTCTAAACCCACTCCCTCAGCAAGCATAGGGTAGGTACATAGTATCTAGTACATACTGCTTATACAACAAATTTAGGCATGATTCATTGCAGTTGATTTACAATTCCACACATACGTTTATTTGTTAAAACAAAGTCAAATCGAATTTTTTTATAGAACGTTATAAATACACATCCTACCAATACATAGTTTGCTAATACAATGTACGAATAAAATACACGTGGTACTGCCCTACTAAGTTGCATTGCAGCTGCAATCGATAATGTTAGAAGAACTAGCAGGAATGGCTTGAATTGAACAGAATGTGGGTACAAGTATCAACCCTAACTTTGGGCTGTACCCCATATGGGCTACCCCACTATAGCCTACACAGAACTAAGACATATATAATGTTCGACACACCCCCATAGGCAAAGTGGGGGAGAACAAAGGGTCACAAGACCAGTCAAGAGAAGTAAAGCAAGCTCAGGTTGGATCACAACGTCACCACACACTCCGAGCACAAGCAAAAGGCCACAAGGCCAGTTCACATGCAGAGGTGTATAGAAGAAAGCAGGTAGTACGATGATCACAACCTAGCAAATGCAAATATGCAAGGATAGATATATAGATCACACTACAGGCAAGGTCAAGCAGTGAGCAAGTGAGAGAACGTAGGCACGAGGCCTAGAGCAGTGCAGTGCCGCTGATGATCACTAGGCGGAAGTGCCTTGGTGAATACATCAGCAGTGTTGGCCCGCGTGTCCACGTAAGCAAGACGAAGCTGGCCACGCTGCTTCATAGAACTCTCGAGCAAGGAAGTAACGCAGAGCGATTTGCTTCGTTCTGTGCTCCAGTCTGTGCTCCTAACACAAGGCAAGGGCTGCCTTGTTGTCACCGTACAGAACTGGAGGAGAACGAGGCCGCTCTCCCAAGTCAGTCAGCAGGTAGGTGAGCCAGTGTAACTCCTGTGCAGCCATGGTTGTGGCGTAGATCTCAGCCTCACAACTGGAGCTGAGAACAGAGGAAGAGCGGGTAGACCGCCAAGAGATTGAGCCGGAACCAAGGCTGAAGGTGTAACCCTGAGACGACCGCTGTGTAGCCAGGTCGTCAACCCAAGAGGCGTCTGAGTGACCACTGAGGACAACTGGACCATGTCCTCCAAGCACCAGCCCCATGCCTGATGTACTGCACAAGTAGCGTAGCACCCTCTTAGCAGCCTCCCAGTGCTCTCGCCGGTGTCTCCCAGGCGCAACGTAGCGAGCAAGGATGCTAAGAGGGTACGCAAGGTCAGGACGAGTGCAGGTAATCAGGTACATGAGGCAGCCCACAAACACTGGGTAAGGACCACTCGGCTCTACGGACTTGTCCGAAGGTGGAGCTGAGAGCGAGTGACCGGTAGACAGAGGAGTGGATTGCGGTGAGGAGAACTGGAAGCCGAAGCGCTGAAGGACCTGCTGCATCATGTGTGACTGAGTCAGGGTAATGGTGCGGCGTGCTCTGTCCTGGGTGATCTGCAAGCCAAGGTAGTTGCGCTGAAGAAGTCTGAAGAAGTCAACTCCCTGCCGCTGAGTGAAGCCTCGTGCAGCGTAACGAGCCTTGAAGACAGGCGGAGAACCCGGCGGCCGCTTCACCCTGAAAATCCACATGCCATCGACTATGTTCGCCCCGGGAGGGGGAACTGCGTCGACGTAAGTGCCTATGGACTTCCAGGATGCCATCTCTGCGTCCATGGCTGTCTGCAAATGAGAAGAGTAGGGACCCGAGATCGCCTCTGTGTAAGAGCGCGGGGTCGGGATGTCTAGTGCATTCGGGTCTCCCTCAGGGGCAAGCAGCCAGGCCACGAGATGAGGCACAGCAGCTGCAAGACAGTCAGAATCCTCCTGCCTGTCCTTAAGGACGTCCGTGCCAAGAGCACACTCACCCCCGACGGACGGAGGATAGACAGACTCAGACTCTGCAACAAGACTGGCGGCACGCAACAGCAAAGTCGACAAGCTCAGCAACTAAGGTAGACGCAGCAGTGGACTCAAACGACGGGTCAGTGACAACAGTAGCCAGAAGACGCGTGACGGTGGGGCTAGCAGCACGAACAGCGTCAGACTCAGGGTCAGGAAGCTCAGGAAGAGAGGACGCAGGAGGAGACGGCAGCGGGACGCGCTGTGGAGCAGAGGAGGGACGAAGTGCCATAGTGTGAGTGCCTGGCACAGGAGGAGGACGCGGACGCGGGACACGACGAGCGGTGCGAACAGCGCGAACAGGGGAGGCAGGACGAGACGCAGGCTCACAACGCTCTGTAAGGGAGACCGGCTGCTCAGTATAGCGGGACGGGATAGGCAGCGGCGAGCCAGGAGGAAGGGCAGTGGACGAAGGAAGACTAAGAACCTGGCGGAGCACCGACTCGGGCGGAAGCTCAGACAGCTGCGGCGGCGGCTGGAAAAACGGTCGCTGCTGCATACTAAGGGCCTCCAGCTCCAGCACCTCCAGCTCTAGCACCGCTAGCTCAAGTAGTGTCTCCAGCTCCAGCGCCTCCAGCTCCAATGCTCCCAGCTCCCGCACCTCGAGCGCCACCGGCGCCAGCGTCCTCAGCTCCAGCGCCTCCAGCTCCAGCGGCTCCAGCGCCTGCGCCACCAGCTCCAGTGCCTCAAGCTCCAGCACCGCCAGCGCTAGTGTCTCCAGCACCAGCGCCTCCAGGACCACTAGCTCCGGCTCCTCCGGTACCTCCAGCACCAATGTCCCCAGCTCCAGTGCCACTAGCACCAGCCGCGTCACTCAAAAGGCGACAGCGACTAGCGTACCACTCGCGCAGCTGTTGTGGGGAGAGAGGCTCCCGGAGGGGAGACGCAGTACCCCTAGGTGCAGCACCCATAGACGCAGCACCCCCAGGATCCGCACTCGCAAACTCAGCACCCCCAGGCTCCGCACGCTCAGGCTCAGCACCCCCAGGCTCCGCACTCGCAGGCTCAGCACCCCCAGGCTCCCCCCCCCAGCAACACCCCCCCCAGCAGCACCTGAGTCACCAGTGACCTCGACAGGCTCAGCCAAGGGGAGTGGGTCTACCTGAGACGCACCGAAGCGAGGAAGAGCGGCGGTGGCAGGGGGGGAGCAGTGCGGTAGGGGAAGAGTCGGTAAAAGGGAACCGACTCGTCAAACGTGACATCCTGAGAGAGGAAGACACGGCACGAGGTGGGGTGTGCAAGCACGGGACCCCCAGAGGGGTCAGCCAGGGAGACCGCAACCGGTCTAGGGAGCGGTGTGAGCGCGGTACTGTCACGAAAGAAACAGCGAGAAGCACCTGAGTCAAGAGTGAAGGTGTGCAAGGCCTCAGCAGGCGCAGTACCAGAGAGAGCAGACTCACGAGGACCTTGAGGAGCAGACTCTATACCTGGGTCATGTGGCATACACAAGTAACAGTCCCCATCAGCACTAACAGTCAATGCATACATGGCAGCAAGGATAGCATCAAAGTCTAGTGCAAAGATATCAACATCGCGCTTAAGCAGGTCCGCCCAGCGTGGGAGCTCCACTGCGTCAGGAAACTGGGCACGCCAAGCGTCGTCAAGGTGGGAGAAACAGCGGTACTCAGTGTGAAACTTTATGCATGTCTGACCAGCTCGGTAGGTGGTTGCGAATAGCTAGGCGAGCAGCAGCGTCACGGGTAAGCCACTGTGAGCGAGTGAGGCTATCAGCTGTGTCTGCTGGAGCGACTGAGGTGCCAGACGCGAGGTCAAAGAGGGATACGCCGTCTTTAACATCAGTCATGAGGTACAGCTGCAGATCTTCGAGCCAGGCATCAAACTCTATTGGACGGCCCTCAGGGTCAAATGACAGAACGCTGATAGATGCCATAGCCACTCAGGTAGGAACGGCAGTGCACGGGCAAGCAAGAGGTGCGCATGTCAGGCAGCAG